AGGGAATTTGCACCTGTATACATTTCTTAAAGAGAATAAAACCACACAAAACAGAACAAAGCAAATCAGAACATGTTGCTCAATATGACCACCAACATTTGATGTCACCACTGTTTGAGACTTGGGCTTTCTAATAAACAGACAGTGCTTGTCTCATTTGTAATTCTCTAATGATAGTCAGGCCTTGATACTTAACTGCTTTGAAATTCATCAAATTTGGTACATAATTCATCCTGACATGATAATTTTGTCCTAGTACTCATGGTTTGTTACTTGACAGGCAAACTAGAACCTGTCAGGATCAATCGCCGTATGACTCACTACCCTTTCCAGCCAAATCAATTTGTTTGGTACTTGCTACATATCCCAGAACCAGGTAACAAGTACCAAGGTACAATGTACGATGTTGAATGTTTTCCCATATACTTACTTAAACCTATTTATTCCCATATACCTTCTTCGGGTGACCTTCTGTCCATGTTTTAGTTGTTCATTTCCTTGCTGTTAAGTTTTAAGAATTCTTTGTATATTTTGGCTGAAAGTCCTTTTTCATATATGTCTTTTGCAAACATTTTCTCCCAGTGTCTGGCTTGTTCACTTTTCCTGTCACTGCTTTCACTTTTTAACTTAATTTCTTACTTCTCTTCTTAACACTAAATTTGCTTCCCTACTAGGTTAAAGGGAAATATCTTCAAAAAACTTGTTTCAATATTTGGGGGCATTCAGAATAAAAGAAATAAAAAATAGCTAGATCAAATAATGAAGCCATGCTCTGGTGCTCAATCTTAACAATAGCTTATATAGTATTTTAGCCTCACCTCTAAAATGGTGTGGATTTTATGTCTCTGCACACATATTTGGAGAGGTTCTCAAACGTGCATCTCTGAAGCTACCTACAAATGAGACTCTACATGTAGAAAGAAAAACACTTGAATATTTAAAATATACATTCAATGGGCTGGGGATTTAGCTCAGTGTCTTAAGCACCTGCCTGGCAAGTGCTAGGTTATGAGTTTGATCCCTGGTATGAATATATATATATATATATATATATATATATATATATAATCATTTTTATAATCTTTTTAATGTTTAAATATATTAGGAGCTTTAAGGACTACAAATGGTCACAATTTCTGTCTTCCTCTGAGAGACACTGCTTAGAACATGATTTATCTACATAGAATTTACTCAATAACATACACTATCATACTATACAGCATACTAAGCAAAAATTACGGCACTATAAACAAGGTGTATGTACCAAAAAAATGACTGAGGCTTTTTCAACAAGATGTACAGAATTGTACCAAAAAAAGGAAAAAGTTAAATTGTTAGTCTGAGCAGCAGGTTGTAAATCTGAACAATGGTTAAACAGGTAAGTCACTAAACAAGGAATATTTGTACCAAACACCTTAAACTTGAATACTAAATTCATGGAAACAAATCCCAAAATTTTCCACATGAAGCACACTGTTCAACTACTCTTGTATCCAACAGTTTGGAAAAGTTTTACTTTCTTCTGCACAAAATAAATTCATGTTATACAGAAAAAATATGCTTTATTTTTCTTAACTGTGACCAAGATTAAGACAATCCCAGAGTTACCTACTTAAATGTCATCATTTTGAATTTCAAAATCTTAATTCTTTCTGGCTTTAATGAAGATTCAGCCTTCCAATAACCTCAAATCGTCTAGGAATTTTTATAAGAAGAAAGTTATGTCCCTCAGTTTCTACCACAAAACATACTTTCCTAAAACACCACACATGAAAATATCTCTGGTTTTTTTCTCTACTGTATTCAAAATAGAATAAATTGAAGGAAATGGAAAAAGAAGTGAGAGGAATGTAGGCCTAAAAGAAGGGTAGATGAGAAGGTATGAACCAGAGGAAGAGGGACAGAGAGAAGACAAATATCAGATAATGTTTTACTCAAAACTATAGTGGCATGGCCACAGAATAATGAGATTATCATCACTCCAAATGTATTGTGTTAACCAACTGCAAAGATGACATAAATGTAAAATGAATGAATCCATAAAAGTACAGTTCTCTGGATGTCAAGATGGGCTTAGTTCAGAAGTGACACTGGATGGACTTCACCTGTTTCTCAACAGTGACAGCATCTGTGGCCTTCTGAACAGTCTTCTTCATAACACATTTCTATCTTCCTCTCAGATGATGAAGTTTTTGGTTTTCAAACTCAGCTTACTAGCAGCAATGAGAAAAACTTACTAAGTACATTGATCCCCAGTGTCACCTCCAAAGTACTGAACTACAATCTCTGAAGAAGAAACTCAATTTTCTAATTGATGGTTGCTTTCTACCTGACAGAGTTAATGGCTTAAAAAGTAAAAGTTTGGACACGAATGCTCAAAACTAATTTTAAAAACACAGTACTAACTTCCAATAAGGTAAAAAAGAAAGCACACACCAGTAACCATGGTCATGAGAAATGTTTGTCTAGACTCAAATATTTAATCAATGCACTTCATAAAGACTACAAAGTAAGATACAACTCAAGCCACGGCTGTGCTGTCTCACTAGCACCTTCTGAGAATTATCTACATAGTCCACATCTTCACATCACCACAGAATTTAGAATTAAATTATCATACAAAACATGGAGGGTCCCTAAACTTGTATTCTTTGGTGACTTGAATAGTAATAGCTGGGAGTGAAGATGGATTAAAGATAAACATCGCTTTCTACCACAGCATTCGGGCAGGGAGAGTGAGTGGCCATGTCAGGTCAAAGAGCACAAAATTCCCACCTAAACTTCTCATGATATTTTCACTATAATTTTAGTAATTACAAACTGTAGTCAACAAACTTCATCCGTGAACTAATGCATTTTAAAAGCTACACCATGGGCCGGGGATTTAGCTCAGTGGCACAAGTGCCTGCCTGGCAAGCGCAAGGTCATGAGTTCAATCCCCAGTACACAAGCACCGCAGAAACATTGGCCAAGAACTGATTCAGCAGCTGAGGGTTTCAATAATAAGAGCAATCAAGTAAATTCTGAATAGTAAATTCCTGGGAGGCAAACTTTTGATTCTTTTTCCCTTCCTTGTTCTCTTCTGGCACATTCTTCCCATTGTGCAGTACTGTGTATATTCAGAGCACTTCATAAATAATAAAAAAATGAAATGAAGTCTGTAGACCCAAGCCTGGAGGAATCAATTCTTAGGCACAATTCCAAAGGTTAACTTTAACCATTTGAAAACTATCCCAAACGCCCTCAAGTACACTGCTGAAATAATCTCACTTCCAAAGCAAAATGTATAATCAAAATGTGGAATACTGTTGGACTAACCATTCTAAATAGGTTAAGTGTGTCATTAACAGGAAATCAATCTAAAAAACTATTTTATTCATTTTCATATTTTCTAAGATCTCTGAAATGGTAACCACAGTTTGACAGCATATTAATCAATTCTGAGTTCCTCATGACAATGGGGGCGGCTGTAACATAGATACTACAAGAGAATAAGCCATCCAAAATTATCTGGAACAGTTTTAATATTCATATTTCCTTGGGAGTTTTCTTTGGGGACTGATTAAATTTCATTTTTATTAGGTGAGTCATGAAGTTCATTACATTGTTTAAGTAAAAGTAACTGACAATTGGGAAAGAAGATTCAGTTTACATTCTGGTTTCAGTTTACTCAAGTAGTAGACCAGAAACTTTAAACAGCCATAAACAAACAGGTCAATAACTCACTAGTGGCAGTTTCTTATTCTGTATAATAAGCATAAAAAATACCAATACCCTACAGAAAATTCCAAATTTTAAAAACATATTCTATAGCATTTGGAAAGTACAAGACATGTACTTGTACATGCAAAGACATGTGACTGTTTATGAGCATTCACATCATCTCCACAGTGATCATACATACAGGTTAATAAAATCATTCTTTAGGTTTGCCCAGCAGTCAAGGCCAGCTAAAAATATTGACTTAAAAAAACTGTTATAAAATGATTCTTATTTCACGTGATTATTAGCTCTAATAGTATATAGTTAAAAGACATGTACATCTGTAATTCCAGCACTTGGGAGGCTGAGGGAGGAGGATCACTGTGAGTTCAAGGCCAGCCTGGACTATATATCAAGACCTTGTCTCAAAACAACAACAACAATAACAAAAAATAAAATAAAATTCAGACTAAAATAAGAAGAAAAAATCATGCAGTATTTAGTATCATTTAGCAATAACTGTCATTGGAAAAAGGGACAAACAAATACAAAACTAAATAACAACAACAAAAACACAGATCACATGGGATAATGCTCAGCTTGCACAATCACTATATTCTGCATTATTTGATGGCATTCATCATTACTGTCTCATGATTAAATACATTTATATTCTCTTTAATATAACATAAAAGTTGTTGAAATTGAGTTCATTTTAAACAACAACAACAAAAACCTACCTTTAAAGTATATTCTGGCAGGTCACATTTGAAAATACTATGTGAACTTTGTGTAGCTGAGGAGAGGTAAGGGAGGCTCTACTTCTATCTCTAGCTACACAAACCTTGAGTAGCCTGAGTCATGTCCTATATGTAAGGCAAAGAAAAGGCTGGGCAAGGGAAATGCTCAGCCTAAAAAGAAATGCAATCACATTGAAGGAAAAAAGAGGAGCTATTAAATCTGTGTGACACGTAAAAAAGAACTCCAAAGTATAAGCAATGGGAGTTTATGTATTGAAAATACATTATTACCCATGAAGCTACCATGACCGAATAGCTGTTGACCAAATGGGCTTTCTTGAGAAATCATATCTTTATTAACAACCTCTCTACCATAACATTAATTCTTAAAACATTAAAAAGGAAATTACTTTTATTTGTGAGAATCCTTAATTACTGCCATTTGACAAGTAGTTTGGGACAAAACTATTAAGAATATTGGTTTTGTCCCCAGGAAACCTACAGTAATTCCATAAACTCAAACGTCAATACTGTGAATTTCTCCTGTGCACAATTTACCTTTCTTGGATTTGGCTCCAATCTTTAGTTTGGATGGCCAAGCAATCTGCGTATTTGTTTCCTCCATGATCTGTAACAAAAGTTAAAAGAGAAATGTTGAATTAATTAAAAACTTGTATTTACAGATAAGATTTTTCACCAAAAAAGGCTTATTTTCAAGTCTCTAGTTTTATGTTGACACAACAAAATGATCTTATTTTAAAACAATGCAAATTTAAAAAGTCTTAGGGGAAAAAAGATGTGTTTTTATAACTCTTTAATCTATTAGAAATATTCAAGTATATTTTGTTACTCCCAGTGTTCCCTCTGTGTTGCTCCAGAATTCTAAGAGACAAGACCAGAAAGTACATGAACAATTAATTAACCCCACTTGTTGCCAGAACCGAGATTCTTGTGCTAAGTAAAATTCCCCAAGACTATCGCCAATGGATTGCAACATATCAAACAAGATTCTTGTAATACAAAACTATCTGAGTTAGGCCATACTAAGCAAAGACTGCCCCTACCCCAACACAGAAAAGAAATAACTTGCCTTGGACACATTTGTGTTTCATTAAAGCTAATGAAAAGTTACTAAACACAGCATCACTCTGAAAAGTGCCATTTCCCATCATCCCTCATGCGGTCAAGGATGGCATTCACACTGTGGTCCTTTCCCACTGACATGCACAGCTAACATCAGCCAGGAGAGCTCCACATCAAAGGAGCCAGACAGAACCACCAGTGAAGGAAGCAGTGACAGCAGAGCAGTGGAAGTGGATGATAAGGAAGAAACAAGTAACTACATAACGTTCATCCTGCGTCCTGCTCATTTTATCACATGCATACAGTAGGTTACTGTTTACTCCTGTGCTATGTATAGAGAATGGACCAAACTAAAAGCAAACAGTTACACAACTTAATAGGCAAGTAACAGCAATTATCACTCATTAATTCAATTACTCAAAGCAGAGTAAGATATTATTTATTTTTTAATATGGATTTAGAGTTATCTAAATAAAGGTCATGCTAAAAAATAAACACATTAACAATGCAATTAAGTAATCCCTCAATGTTAGCTATGTACAAAGCACAAAGCTAAATCACTAGCACACATCTTTACTTTATTGAATTCCTTTTGTCACCGCATAAAAGGGCTTTCATCACATGCTCCAGACCGGCAGGCCACATGTGCATTTTGCCTGGCCACTGTCAGGTTGCTTTTTCAAGCTTGAAACAACATTTTAAAACCCAAGAAGTTCACATAGAAATTCATATTTATGATTTTCTAGAAAGCTGAACAGATTCAGCACGTGGAGCCCACATTCCCACATGGGCACCCTTGGCTGGCACTGAGGAACAGCTGCCCCTTTCAGTTAGGGTGAGCAGACCCTCAGCTGCTCCATGATCCCACTGTGGCTCTGAATCCTAGAACCAAAGCCGCCTGTCATTATCATTATCATGTCTTTACTGCTCATTATCATTCACCATGAAAGACTGTTGCTTCCCTTAGAGAAATATTTCCCTATACTCATGTATCTATTAAAAATTTTAAAAACCCATTAAGACTCAAGCATGGTGATAAATTACTGTAATCCAAACACTCTGAGAGGCTGAGGCAGTAAGATCATAAATTCCATCCCAGTCTGGACAATTTAGCAACATAGTGAGACATTGTCTCAGTATAAAACATAAAAAGGTCTGGGTGATGTAGCTCAGTGCACAGACCCTGGGATCAACCCCCAGTAAGCCGTGCCCCCACACACAGACACACACACACACACACACACACACACACACACACACACACAAACTGTGCTGTCTTCACTAAGTCAAAGCTTGGAAGGCAAGTCGGCTTGTTATCCCAACATGACAGGACCTGTTCTTGCCTCTCTCCCTTCTCCTCTTCTAGCTGCCCCTGTTTACTGTTTTGATGTTTTCTCCAAGAATTTTGGTTAATCAATTCTACATCCATATTTAAAGATGAGTATTATCCTCCTGAACTCCGTCTGCCCCAGTGAGAAGAGGTACATCCCCAGACCTTTTAGGACTAAGAAATATAAATTTTTTTATTATCCTTCATTAAATCTGATATTAGCACAAGAATGAAATTATATCTCTATTAACTCCCTGTTAATATTAAGTACAGTAAATCTGTCATTAGAAATGTAACAATATTCCCAGCAGTGTTTGTGCTCTCTTCCCAAACCTTCCCATCTTGCTGCTTCTCACACTCAGCCTTGGGACCACCTCAGTCCTCTTCACTCTCACACCACCCCAGCCAGAATTATTCTCCCCCTCACTGCATATTTTCCTCCTAATGCTTACACAATCAGGAATTTTCTTATTGTCTGTGTTTACTTGTTTAAAGTCTATCTCTGTAACATAGAAATTAAGCTCTCTGCCCTGCAAGACAAGCACTGGATGTACTCAGGCAAATGAATCCTCATAATGCAGCTCTGCTGCTTTCTAGCTGTGTGAGTTGGTTGAGCAAACCTCTCTCAGCATCATCTTCCTCTTCCATAAAATTATTTATAGCACCTACTCCCAGGGTTGTGGGGACCTGATTATGGGGGAGAACCTAAGCACAGGGGATGGCACCCAGCAAGTGCTCAGTTACAGCAGACTGGTGATTTTCAGCTGCCCACTGTCCTGGACACAAGACACAAAGCACACAAGTGACTGGTGCCTGTCCTCTTGGAGCTGAGGTCTAACAATGGAGAATACCTGAGAACCCACCATTGTGGTACTTGATGCCAAGTTTTAGCACAGGGCAAGGCAATATGAGAGCACATACAGGATTCTAACTAAGCTGTGGGTAGATAAGGAAAGTTACCATAGGAAAAGCTTACTGATGTTGTACCCTAAAGTAGAAGGAAAAGTTGGCTAGCTGGGGAAGATAGAGAAAAGGTCCCAGTCAGAGTTGGCATGCATGTGGAAAAGCCTAAGCAAAGAGAGGGAAAGTCCCCTAGCGAACCTGATGACAATTCAGCAAAGCAAGGGGACTTCTAGTCCTACTTCACACTTCCAGGACAGTCAATGAGTCTTCTATCATCTCTACTGTCCTATAGCCGTCCTTACGAATCACTTAAAACACACAGGACAAAGCCATGAAGTACCTGTGCTTTCTGGAAAGTGAAAATTCTCCTTATGAAGTTTTTAGTAAAGCTTTCAAATCATCGTGCATGTGACTTCAAGTCAGTTGTTGGAGCTCTGGTTTTGTATACTGTTTATCTGCCTGGGCCTTGGCCTCGGCAGTGAAGGGAATGGGGGAGTATGCTGCACTCCATCATAGGAGAAGGGAGAGCAGTTCTCAGGACTGTAGATGAGACCAACCCAGGAACCCTAGTATGGCAGCTGGATTACTGGAGCTGGTGGGTTCCAAGCATGTCCCCTATGCAAGTAGCACAGAATTGTAGGCAGGGAGTGCAAAGGCAGCCATCAGAAGGATCTATAACCAGCAAACTATGCAAAACAATGTCCTAAATGGTCATCAGGGAGAACCAGAAGAGGTGAGATAAGCAAGATGGTTTAAGTCAAAAAAGCCATCAAACCTTTGAGAAGAAAATGGCTATCTTCTGTCTCAGGGGAAAAGCAGAGATTCTAAAATAAATTCCTTCTACTTTGTTTTAGATTCATTTTAAAAGTATGTTATTATTTCCCCTATTTCCACTTTCCAAAGTCCAAAGAACAAACTCTTGATTTTCAATCATTTTTTATAAACATTAATTTTTATTAAAAAAATCACAGCAACAGGAAGACAAATGAGATGGCTATTACAGTGGATGAAGACTCTGATACCTTTTCTGGAGCACAGTATACATTTCCCACAGGCCAATTAATACCCACAGAACCTTCCAAGGAAATTACTTCCCAGAACCTGTGATGTGCCTTCATTCCTGAGTAAGTTAATATTTTCTCTAAAACATTCATTTTCAATTTAAGTTATAATTCAATTAAGTAGCCAATTCAGACCATCTACAATAAATAAATAAAACAAGATGATGCCCTTCAACTGTGTGAAATTTGACCTCCAAGTTGGGAAAACATGTCTAAAATGACGGTGCTTCCTTATGGAAATAAAACTATAAATATCATCGTGTCAGTCAAGCCAAGGAATGCCAAGATATGCCAAACTGCAAAACCTCTGAGAAACATGATTATCTTCTTAAACAGAAAAAAACCCTCAAGTGAATTTCAACTAGTTCCTTTAAATCGTATTATTGCCTAACTCTACATTCACAAAACCTAAGCTTAAAGAAAAAGCATCAGAGTTTGAATCATTTTCTATAAACATTAATTTGTACCTAAAATACTTTCAAGACATTTATCTTAACTCAATTGTGGATGTTGTATGTGTTCACTTATAAAAGTTATTTCTTCATCAATAAAACCTGAAGGAAAATAGGAGACTTAGAGGAGAGGACAGAAAATGAAGAAGGAGGGAAGGAGGAGGACAGGTTAATGGGGAAACAGGTAAAAGTAACTGAAGCATGTTATATACATGTACCAATATGCCAAAACAAAACCCACTATTCCGTATAACCAGTAGGCACTAATACAATTAAGGAAACAAAATCTGATGAAGTCAGCTTGCTAAGAATATGTAATTTTGGAAACTAAATAATAACTTTCTAATTCATGCTTAAATTTTTAAATAGGCAATCATGTTCCCTGACCCAGGACTCCAACAGTCGATTCAAAAAAGGGCACCTAGTAAATACTATATTGTAAGTTTCTGTCTTGGTTTTAATTTCTGCAGGGTGTGAGGAGGGGTAAAGCCAGAAAGTAAAGGTATTGTGTGCAAATTTTGAAATTTGGATTCTTTTATTTTTATTAGTGCATATTTGCAGTACATAATGATTATATTCTTTGTGGAGAATTGGCACATGTACATAACATCTTTTTTTTTTTAAACTGGATGAAACTTCTGTCCATATTTTTGAAATTTCAAAGACTTACACTGAGTCATTTAATTTCACTCTCCTAAAATAAACTGCAAAAGGTAAAATAAAATAAACAAGTAAAATCTAATTGCATTCCACAAGTGGTTCATCTGTAATAAAAACATTTTCCATTTATATTCTTTAA